AGTCCTCATTGTCCGCAATGTTCAGCGAGTCCGGTTTTATCCCAGGCTTTTTCAGACCCAGGCCTGTTGGCCTTGAGGAGTTCCCAACAGAACATCCCCATTGTCTCAGTGTGTGCGTGCACCCCCCCCCCCCATGGTCCTGAGTTCCTTGCTCATACTCTCTCTCCTTCTGCTCCTGATTTGGACCTTTAGATTTATGTCCTGTGCTCCAATGTGGGTCTCTGTCTCTGTCTCCTTTCATCGCCTGATGAAGGTTCATATTCAGGAGTATGGGTATATGTTTTTCTTTGGGTTCTCCTTATTTAGCTTCTCTAGGATCACTAATTTTAGGTTCAATGTCCTTTGTTTATGTCTAGAAACCAAATATGAGTAAGTACATCCCATGCTCCTCTTTTTGGGTCTGGCTTTATTTTTTTTATGACAATTTAAATTTTCTCTTGACTTACAGGACTATTTAGATTGTTCACCTGGTCTTGATTTAATTTTGGTATATGATATCTAAAGAATTGTCCACTTCTTTTCATTTTCCAATTTTGTGGAGTACAGACTTTTGTAGTAAGGCCTAATTACTCTCTGAATTTCCTCAGTATCTGTTATTATATCCCCGTTTGATTTCTAATTTTGTTAATTTGGATGTTCTCTCTCTGTCTTTTGATTAGTTTGGATATGGGTTTGTAAATCTTGTTGTTTTTCTCAAAGAAACAGCTCTTTGTTTCATTGATTCTTTGGATTGTTTTCTCTGTTTCTATTGTGTTGATTTCATCCCTCAGTTTGATTATTTCCAGTCTTCTACTCCTCATGAGTGAGTCTGCTTCTTCTTTTTCTAGAGCTTTCATGTGTGCTGTTAAGGTGCCAATGTGAGCTTTCTTTGTTTTCTTTATGTGGGCACTTAGTGCTATGAACGTTCCTCTTAGCACTGCTTTCATGGTGTTTCATAGGTTTAGATATTTTGTTTCTTCATTTTCATTGAATTCAAGAAAGACTATTTTTTTCTTTATTTCTTCCTTGACCCAGGGGTGGTTCAGTAGTTGACTGTTCAGATTTCATGAGTTTTTGGGCTTTCTGGGGGTAGTATTGTTGTTAAATTCTAACTTTACTTCATGCTGACTCGATAAGACACAGGTTGTTAGTCCAATTCTTTTTGTATTTGTTGATGCTTGCTTTGTTACTGAGTATGTGATCAATTTTAGAGAAGGTTTCATGAGGTGCTAGAAGAAAGCATATTCTTTTCGGTTTGGGTGGAATATTATATAGATGTCTGTTAAGTCCATTTGAACATCTGTTAGTTTTTATTTTTCTGTTAATCTTCTATCTGGTTGATCTGTTCATTGGCAAGTGAGGAGTGTTGAAGTCTCCTACTATTAATGTGTGGGGCTTGGTGTGCAATTTAAGTTTTAGTAATGTTTCCTTTTCATACATGGGTGCTCTTGTATTAGGGGCATAAATATTCATGAGTGAGACTTCATCTTGATGAATTGCTCCTGTTATGAGTATAATGTGTCCTTCCCCATATCTTCTGATTGATTTTAGTTTGAAATCAATTTTCTTAGATATTAAGATAGCCACACTCACTTGTTTGTTATGTCCATTTGATTGGAAATACTTCTCACAACCCTTTACTCTGAGGTAGTGTCTGTCTTTGAGGTTGAGGTGTATTTCTTGTATACAGCAGAAGGCTGGATCCTGTTTTTGTATCCATTCTCTTAGCCTGTGTCTTTTTATAGGTGAATTGAGTCCATTGATATTAAGCAATATTAATGACCAGTGGTTGTTAATTCCAGTTATTTTTTGGTGGGTGTGTTTGTGTGTTTCCCTTCTTTGGGTTGTGTTGGTTGAGTAATACCAGAAGTCTGTGCTATTATGGGGTGTAGGTAGCTTCCTTGGGTTTAGGTTTTCCTTCTAGTACTTTCTTTAAGGATGGGTTTTTGGATACATATTTTTTAAATCTGTTTTTGTCATGGAATATCTTGTTTCTCCATCAATTGTAAAAGAAAGCTTTGCTGGGTAAAGCAATCTTGGCTTGCATCCATGGTCTCTGTGGGGGCAGGGAAGGCTAGACCATGGGTTTTTTTCTCCATCTTCTTTCACTACAACTCTCCTGCTAGGGCTTTTTCAGCTATGACATCGTCAGGTCTAGTGTCCTTCTGTTGAACACATCAGCGTGGTTGTTGTGGAAGCCATCTCACAGAATCTTCATCTTGGAAAAAAACACAAACATGCCCTCAACCGCATATTAATATAGGTTCTGGTCCTCTCCATTTTCCAGTGCAAGGATCTTTCCACATTGATTTAGCTATGGTGGTCTTTGTACTATTATGCTACAATCTTTTTGCTGCTGATCACTCATGAACATCCATATTCAAGAAACTTAGAGTAAACAGTGCATGATTTAAAGTATTATGTGACTTTGAGAATACAATTCTCATGTTTTTATCTTTTGAAGTTGTGTTTTCAAGAAGCTATGATCATGCTCTACAATTCCTTGTTCTTGAGGATTATAAGGAATATTGGTCTTATGTACTGGGTACAAAATTGTTCAAATGCTCTACTAACATATCCAGACCCATTGTCCATCTTTATGATGTTTTTGGCTCCCATGCATGAGAAACATTTTAAGCAATGAGGTATTGCATGCTTAGTGGTTTCCCCAGTTTGTGCAGTGACCATCAAGAATCCTGAATATGTATCAATTGTGACATGCACATATCTCAATTGTCCAAATTCTGTTACATGAGTAACATCCATTTGCCATATATGATATGGAAGCAGTCCTTGAGGATTACTCCCAAATGAGGTACAGGTAAGTATTGTGGTCATATCTCACATTGTTTAACAATTGGAAAAGGAGTTTCCCTTTAATTTAAGTTGCTTTCTTAAACTGTTTCCATGGTGCAAAACATGCAACTACTGAGCAAGCTCAACCTGTGATAGAACAATTATTTTTGTAAGCTTGTCAGCTAAAGTATTACCTACAGCTAATGGTCCAGGAATATTCGAGTTTGCTGTGATATGTCCCACAAAACATGGTAACTTCCAATGTTGTGTGGCTTCTTGAATCTGCTGCAAGAGCATCTTAACTTGTTTATTGCTAGTCCCAATATGAGAGACAGTATCTAGCACCTGAAGAGCATTTTAAATGTAATGACTGTCAGTATAGAAATTAAACACTTCATTTGCAAAATTTTGAAACAGTAAAGCCATAGCTCACAGCTTGACTATTTGAGCTGAAGTTGGTTTTGTCTGCACTGTATGTCATTTATTTTTAGTCACATAAGAAGCTGTCCCATTAGAAGAGCCATCAGTGAAAATTAACAGAGAATCCTTTGTAAGATCTTTTGCTACTACTTTAGGAAAAGGGAATGAATGCAGTTGGGTAAACTGCAACAATGGTCAGTTGGGAAAACATTATTAATCTGGCCTTGAATTTGAGCAAATGCAATTGCCCAAGAATCAATATTTTGAAATAACCACTCAATTTATTGCTTAGTGTAAGGAACATTGATTACAACCGGTTCCTTACCAAAATATTTCTTAGATTCTATCCTGTTCTTCTGTGCTAAGCATGCTACTGATTCAAATTAAAGATTTAGTGATGATACATGAGGTGCATCCATAAGAGTTTCTTGTTTTGTCATAAAACCACTCTGGAATCTAGTTTTGTGAGAAAAATGCATGCCTGCCACGTTTGGCTGTAATCAATATAATGTATGTGTTGTTCTGTATAGCCTGCTCTAGCAGAGAGAGAGAACCTGTCTGGCAGCTGCTGAAAGCTCTCTGCTGAAATTTGAATTACTATCCCCTTTAAGGATTTCACTTAGAGTATCCAGGTCTCCCATAGGATACCTTAGATAAGATCAAAGCCATTGGATATTTCCTAACAACTTTTGAAAGTCATTTAGTGTCTTTAAACTATCCTTCTAAATTTCTAATTTTTGAGGCTTATTTTTGGGGGGAAAACATGTGACCTAAATACTGGAAAGGTGGGTGCTTCTGCACTTTCTCTGGAAATAATAAGCCCTAAAGCTAAGGCTCTGTTGTAGTAGTTCATATGTCTCAAGTAAAACTCCTTCATCCATATAATGTCATCCATATAATGGATGACAAAATTAGTGGAAATTGATCTCTAACCTGAGCTACAAACTTCTGGCATAAAGTGGCACTGTTTGCTATACCCTGAATTAAGATGCTCCATTGATATTTCTTCTATGCCTCTCTGAAATTAAATGAGGGGATATCAAAGGCAAATCTTTGGCAATCTTGTGGTGATAAAGGGGTGGTATTGAAATAATTTTTTATGTCTAAAATAATTTTATGGGTGCTTTTTGGTATCATTGTAGGAGAAAACAGTCCTGGTTGTAATGCTGCTATCAGCTGCATGGTTGCATTAACCTCCCTTAAATCCTGAAAAAGTTTCACTTTCCTAATTTCTTTTTAATGACAAAAATTGGAGAAGTCCATGATGAATAAGATGGTGTAACGTGTTCATTATTCAGCCCTTTTTTTGTTTGTGCCCTGAAGGTTACTCAGAATTATGGTTGCCATAAAATGTAGAAATATGGACCTGTATAATACAGGCCCTAAATAAGGAATAAAAATTTATTATACAAATAAACTCTTCAGTTACAAACATCTACTCTGCCTCAGTTGTTTGCTGTCTTCTTTCTAAGCTAATGAGGAGGATGTCCTTGAATAAGCTGATTGTATTCTCTGTACCCTAATTTCCTCATCTGTATGTTTAGAATTAATATCACCTTTCCCATTGTAATTATAGAAAAAAATCTTTCTAACTTCCTGCTATGTTTGTTTCTTCATATTTAATACAGTGATAATAAAAATGTAGTAACAAAATTTTTGTAAATTTAAATAAACTAACATATGTAATAGCTTATTATAGCAAATATTAATATGTGATGTGTGCTTGGAATATGTCGATTACTTACTATTGGAAAATACCTTGATAGTAAAGAAAATTTTATAATTTTTCTTCTAGGTAAATCAATATGGACAATAAAGGTGAATATTTACTTAACTTCAAAGGCTATAACTTTCAACGATCTCTAGTTAAAATGAACATAGTGGAAAACATGGATGATCAAGAAATTAGAGATGATGATGTCTTCATAGTCACATATCCAAAATCTGGTGAGTGGAATAATTAGGCCATATGGCATTTGTGTTTGTTTTGTTTTTTGTTTGTTTATTTTGTTTGTGAGTGTGTGAGTTTTTTAGATAGAGTTTCTGTGTCACATTGGAGCCTGTCCTGGAACTAGCTCTTGTAGACAAGTTTGGCCTTGAACTCATATAGATCTGCCTGCCTCTGTATCCCATGTTTTGGGATTAAAGCAATGCCCTATCACCTCCCGGTATTTTGGTTTGATAATAAGTACATAAATATTCTTCTTTCTACCCACTGTCATTTCAACAATATTAGTTTCTTTTCTCACTGCTGCACCAGAATACATCATCATGTTGAAGAATTCCCAATGGCAGGTGAAGGTTCGTTGTCAACTTCCATCTGCAGTGAACTTGATGAACTTAATCTAGATAACCCCTCATACAAGTCCAATGATTTGTTTCCATGAATATCCTAAATCCCATCAGACAACAGTATCTGTAATCATAGCAACCTGCAATTTAGAACAACATATGGTAAAAACATAAATAAAACTCAAGTCTATATGGGTAAAAACACTTGCCATGTATATATTGTAATTTATTGTGGAAAAATGCTGGGGGATGGGAATCAAATATGAAGCCAGCAGCAGCTTGTTGGTAAATGATGACAAGATGCCTTAGCCTGTTGAACAGGTCTGAGATAATCAAAACTATTTCTGCAAAAGATACATGTTTTATTATGTAAAGACAATGATTAAATTTCAAAAACATGCAATTTTGTTCACAAAATTTCTAGGACAGCTGTAATGTACATAAAATTCTCAAAAAAATCTTCTTAAAACAGTGAGTCTTCCTGGAAGCCTTGAGGTTTGTGAAGCTAATCAGGAAAAGCAAACACAGGCACTCCAATTTAACTCCTGTTTTTTTGTCAGACATGAAGATAAACTGAAGTTCCTTTTGTAAAGGTACTTCTACCTCAGCAAAAGATGAAACTTATAAGTCTTGGAATAAGTTTTTTGCAGTGGTGAACACAGACTACATAGTAAAGCAATAGGTGTGAAGATTTCACATCCACACCCCACTCTCAATGTCCATGTACAATAACACCAAGATTTTATGTCTCTATTTGACGATTTCAGTAAATAAAGATGTTTTGCAAAAATATTTCTTTGTTCATATCAAATCATACTTTGCTTCCATCTTTGTAATGTTTAATGTGGTACAGAATGAAGGGTCCTGTGAGGCAGTTAGTGGTTCACTGTAGAAAATAACCAAATAATTCAGTCACAGTAGATACACTGAGTGCTTTTAGAAGTCCTCAAGAAGACTGAAATAGGCAATGAATGTTTATATTATGCCACACAGGATACTGACACATTTAGTGTCATAAGCCCTGGAGTCTGGGATATTTTCCCATAATCAGCCCTTTCAAAATTTCAGGCTCTGCTTATGTAGTGCACCATCAATCCTCACTGGGAATAGTGGCTAGTTAATCGATTCTAAACTAGTACCAGGGAGCTGGAGAGATGGCTCAGTGGTTAAGAGCACTGACTGCTCTTCCAGAGGACCGAGGTTCGATTCCAGCACCCACATGACAGCTAACAACTGTCTGTAACTCCAGTTCCAGAGGATCTAACACCGTCACACCAATGTACATAAAATAATGTTAAATAAACTAGTACCAATGAATTATCTGGAATAGCCATTAACAATTAAGGATTCATCAAATCTACACTGCCACCAATAAATTATCTGTGTTAGCCATTAATAATTAAGGCTCAACCTAAGCATGACAGTATTTGACCACATGGGATCAATTCTTAAAGGGAATAGAATTGGAATTTTGCATTTATTTCCCAAATAATTCCACTGTATGATTTGATCTAATAGTCCAGTGACCAAATGTCAAGAGCACTGAAATCTTTGGTTTCCTCTTTCTACATGTATGCTATGATCAATTACTGGGAATATAGTAAGAAGTATTTGAGAGTACAAAGAAAGATAAGGAGTAGACAATAGAAATATTTAATTCTATTAGTTTTTTCACAGTTATAATATATAAGCAAATAATGTAGTAATTTCAGAAATGAGTCAGAATTGCCCATAAACAGCATAGCATAGAACATACAGACACTACAAGAATCATCTGGATTATCACGACCAATCAGCACATCTTTGTAAGTGAGAAAGGAACAGAGAGTTATAGAGTTCAGCCTTACTGACTTGAGTGTTTGATACCGACAATGGTGATTGAAAAAGGGGCACATCCAAGCCTGCCTTGAGTGCTAAAGGAAAAAAAGCTCCAAATTATTTGTAAACTGGGTGACATTAGTGTTAGTATTCATTATTAAAACCTTCTTCAGGATTGAAAACGGGATTGTTATTTGTTCTTACAGGTACCATCTGGGCACAACAGATCCTCAGCCTGATTTATTTTGAGGGACACAGGAACAACACTGAAAACATCCTAACAATAGACAGAGCACCATTCTTTGAGTACAACCACCGTAATGTGGACTTTGCCAAAATGCCATCACCTCGTACCTTTGCTACCCATCTCCCATATTATTTGGTGCCAAAAGTTTTCAAGAACAAAAAAGTCAAAGTATGTCATAGAACTTAGTGACTTACTGTACCCATGAAATGCCTTCTTTAAGTACTAAATAATTAGTCTGTTCCATTGTTTTCCCACTGTGATGCAGCTGCTATGAACATTCTTGAGTGTGTCTCCTGATACTCTTTCAGCAGCTTCCCTAGAACACACACCCATGAATAGACTGCAGAGCCACAGTGACCAGAGTACTCCACTTACAAAGGTGGTGCAGTAATTACGAAGAAAGTGGATTTGTCATTTTTTGCAGAAATGTATAAAAGATGACTTATTAATGTTTCCCTAGTAACTTGACATATCAGAATTTTACATGTTTATCAACATGGCAGCTAGGAAAAGGTGTCTCAAAAGTATGTTAACCTGCCTCCTCATCCTCATAATGGGTGTGCCAATGTTGGATGTTTAGTGGCCATCACTATTTTTGATTGTGTGAAAAGAGTCTATCATTACCCTAATGTTTAATTACATTCTTCTGTTCAGTTTGCTTTCTATCACTCCTAGATATGAATCTATTTTAGATCATCCTCATTGCTTTTCTCATGAGTGTTTTTATCAGGAACATTCTTAATTTTAGTGTTATCAAATGGATTCATTTTTCTTGCTATTTTTTCATATTTTTTTAAAAATTACTTTTCATCTTATATACAAACCCCAGTTCCCCCTCTATCCTCTTTCCCTGTCCTCCACCTATCCCATTCTTATTCCCCATCCACTTCTCAGAGGGAGTATGGCCTTCATTCAGAATTTAACAAATTCTGGAATACTAACTTGAGGCAGGAGCAAGCCTCTACCCTTGATATCAAGGCTCAATAAGGTATCCCACTATAGGGAACAGACTCCAAAAAGCAGGTTTATGTACCTGGGATAGGTCCTGGTGTGACAACCAGGGCCCCTTCCAACAGAACAAGCCACATAACTGTCACCCACATTCAGGTCTAGCTCAGTCCCATGCAGTTTTCCCAGCTGTCAGTCCACAGTCCATGATCTCTCACTAGCCTGAGACGAGCTAACTGTCCTTCTTCATCTCTTTTGATTAATTTTAGTTTAAAATGTATTTTGTTAGATATTAGGATAGTTACACCAACTTTTTTCTTTGTTACACTTGCTTGGAATATCCCTTCCTAAGCCTTACTCTGAGGTAATCACTGTCTTTGAGGTTGAGGTGTGTTTCTTTTATAAATCAGATTGATGGATCCTGGTTTTGTATCCATTCTGATAGCCTGTCTCTTTACATAAGCGAATTGAGACCATTGATATTAAGAGATATTAATGACCAGTGATTGTTAATTGCTGTCTGATTTGGTTTTGGTGGTGGTGGTAGTATTTGTGTGCTTCCCTTCTTTCAGGCTTGCTGGTATGAGGTTACCTGTTAGCTGTGGTTTTAGTGGGTGCAGCTAGCTTCCTTTAATTGTGGTTCTCTTCTAGTTACTTTCTTAGGGCTGGATTTGTGACTAGGTATTGTTTAAATCTGGTTTTGTCTGGGAATATCCTGTGTTCTCTATCTATGGTGATTGAGAGCTTTGCTGGGTATAGTAGTCTGGGCTGGCATCCATGATCTCTTATTGTCTGCATAACGTCTACCAAGCTTTGCTTTCAGAATTTCTATTGAGAAGTCTGGAGTAATTCTGATAGGTCAGTCTTTTTATGTTACTTGGTTTTTTTCTCTTGCAGATCTTAGTATACTTTCTTTATTCTGTATGTTTAGTGTTTTGATTAATATATGACAAGGGGATTATTTTGGGGGGGGGGAGTCAAATGTGTTTGGTGTTCTGTGTGCTTCTTGTACCCTCATAGGCATTTCCATCTTCAGGTTGGGAAAGATTTCTATCATTTTGTTGAATATCTTCCATGCCTTTGAGCTTGTATTCTTCTCCTTCTTTTATCCTTGTTAGTTTTAGGTTTGGTCGTTTCGTAGTGTCCCAGATTTTTCTGAATGTTTTTTGCTCAGAATTTCTTGGATTTAACATTTTCTTTGACCAATGAATCAATTTCCTCTATTGTGTCTTCAACGCCTGAGATTCTCTCTTCCTTCTGTTTCATTCTATTGGTTATACTTGCACCTTCAGTTCCTGTTCATTTACCCTGTTTTTCTACATTCATAATTCCCTTAGTTTGTGTTTTCATTACTGCCTCTATTTGAATTTTCAAGTCTTGGACTGTTTCCTTTATTTGTCTGATTGTTTTTTCATAGACAATAAATCCTTAAATGATTGATTGATTTCTTCCAGGTTTTTGTTTGCTTTTTCCTCCATTTCTTTAAGGGAACTTTTGATTTCCTCTTTAAGGGCCTTCATCGTATTTATAAAGTTATATTTAATGTCATTTTCTTCTGCTTCATCTCTGTGTTGGGATGTTCAGATTGTCTTGCTGTAGATCTTCTGGTGGTGCCATGTTGCTCTTTATGTTGTAGTATGTATTCTTACACTGCTTTCTACCCATGTTTTCCTCTAATTGGTACAAGTGGGTTCTGTAGCTCTGGTGGTTGCTCTTCCTCCAGATTCAGTTCAGGCCTCTTCCTCTGGGTGCAGTTTGAGCCTGTGGCTCCAGGAGTTACTGACCTTCTCCATGTGCAGGTGGGGCCAGAGAGTCCTGTAGCAGGAGATAGTTGATAAGAGAGCTACTGACTCATTGCTGGGGGTTCTTTAGTTGGCGGAAGTGCAGGGTATAGGGCCTAGAGAGCAGGGCTTTCCAACCAAAATATCAGATACTCACCTGTTTGTTCCTGGTGCAACTGGGGTCGAAGGGCCTGTCTGATTTTTCTTTTAAATAAATTCACATTTGAGAAATTTTTCTTTGCTTTAAGCCTAGAGATACAATCTCTGGGTTTTAGTTTTCCTTTCTTATTCTATTCCTCATGCCCTTACTTTATTTCTTTTATGAGAATATTCCATGTAGCCAAAGCTGGCATGAGCTCCTCCTCCTGCCCTAGATACCCAGGTGCTAATGTTGTGGACAGACGTCCACAGATTATTGTGTCTATGTGTGAGTTTTTATGCTATTTATGCTCTTAACTCATGTTTACATTATTTTTATGAAAGATATGGAGGAAAAGCTCATTTTTATTTGATAATTATAAATATATTACTAATTATTTTGTTATGATTATTAGCTTTTGTTTTCAGATTTATCTCCTCTGCTATCACATAATATCCATCAATTGACCCTCATGGGTAATTAATTTTTACTTTTAAATTTTTAATTAAAAATTTTATATATTTTGATCACATAAGGCAAATGTTCAGTATTTATGAACATTACAATTAATATTGCTTTTTGAGAATTGAGATACATTCTTTTCAATTTAACTTAATTTTTACTTTAAACAAAAACAAGCCATCTTTTTTCATTATACATACCAATCCAAGTTACTACTCACGCCAATCTTCCCATTCCATCCACATATCCCTATATTCCACCACCCCAACTACTCCTCAGAGAGGGTAAGACACATTGATTTGGGGAAGGCCCAAGGCCCTTCCTACTATACCTAGGCTGAGCAAGGTATCCATCCAAAAAGAATAGTTTCCCCAAAAGCTAGGGTATGCACTAGGGATAAATCTTGGTGCCACTGCCAGTGATCCCACAGACTGCTCCAGCCAAACAACAGTCACCCACATTCAGAGGGTCTACTTTGGACCTATGTTTGTTACTTCCATGTCCAGCTGAAGTTCCTGAGCTAATGGGAGCTCAGGTAGACTGTTTCAGTGGGTGTACCCATCATGGTCTTGACCTCTTTTTGAACTACATTCTTAAACATAAAAGCCATAAAGAAAGGTTTTTTAATACAGTACTCTTTCTAATACCAAAGTATAAATAAAAACCATTTGAATTTGTACAGCTCAAAGACTAGAGGAAATAATTATGCTTATTGTTACACTTGAATATTATAAAATTGTATTTAAAAACTTCTAAGCATATCCAAGATTAGATTAAAGAAATAATTACACAATTCTTCCTACAGATTCTTTATATCTACAGAAATCCTAAAGATGTTTTGATCTCTTACTTTCATTTTTCAAATTGGATGATTACACATGAAGCCTCAAATTCTGTAGAAACATTTATGGAAACATTTCTAGATGGAAGAGGTAAGTATTAATTGATATACCTGGACTGAAACCAATTACACAAAAGGTGCCAGTAAGCCAAATTCTTAGACTTACAGAACATATTTTAAAGATTGGAGCAGGGCATTATTTTTAAAAGAACAAGAAAAATATACCAAAAGAAGAAAAACAATAGCAGATGAACAAAAAAAAAAAAACGAAACACAAAGAACTTATCTTTAGTGCCAATTTGTTGTCAACTCTATGTGCTGACAACTGAGTTTTCTTTCCTTATGCACCACATGAGGATTTTCAGGATTACAAAGGCATGCCATTTGGGAACTATTTTGGTTTACAGATATTCTATCAGTTCTTTCCAACTAGTGACAAAAATAGAATAATCCATTATGGCAGAGCAAATTGTATGTTTTGCATGAGCCTATTTATGGCTTTATACTGTAGCTGTGGAATTGTTCATTCTACTACATAGGTGGATTAATTAAGGTAAGAGACTCATCACTATAAACAGAAGTTTCTGTCCCACCTGGTCGGCAGTCATTCAATCCCCCAAAACACATAGTGGCTTATATTAATTACACAAACTCTTTGGCCTATTAGCTCAGGCTTATTATTAACTAGCTCTTACAACTTAATTTAACCCATAATTCTTATATATGTTTAACTGTGTGACTTGGTACCTTTTCTGAGTGCAGCATTTTCATCTTGCTCCCTCTGGAAGATGACTGTCTCTGCCTTTCCTCGTCCCAGAATTCTCCTAGTCTTGTCATGCCACCTATACTTCCTGCCTGGATATTGGCCCATCAGCATTTTATTAAACCAATACAAGTGACAAATCTTTATAGGGTACAAGAGCATTATCCCACAGCACAACACATGTGGAATCAGAATTTCACTTGCTTGTAAGATGATATTCAGATTCTACATCATTACAGATAGTGAACAATAGGAAATACAGAGACATGTGACCTCTATGGAGAAGTAGGAAGAAGGAACAGTATGTTTTAAAGGCACCTGCAGGCTCAGGCCCTGTATTTCTCTATTACTTCTTTTTTACTCCTGTAGTAATATTATATAGGCAAGTTTCTATGAATGTCAGGTAATTGTTCCCCCAGCTATTAAGCATTAAATAGGGATGTCCATTTCAGGCCCTCCGTTGTATTTCTAAAAATTCCAAACCGGAAAAGGAGACACAGAGTTTGTTGTCCACTACATGGACACACAGCTTGGTATTCTCACTTGTTACTTTTCCTCCCAGTGGTAGGAAGCAATTGGTTTGACCACATAAGAGGCTGGTATGAACACAGACAGGACTTCAACATTATGTTCCTGAGCTATGAAGATATGAAGAAGGTAAGAGGAGGTAGTTGTATTTTTAAATGATTTCTTTTACACCATACTTCTCTTGGTTGAAATACATTCTGCCAGTTATCTTCATACTTTAATTATTCTTTGGGCTTTTTGTTGAAGATGATTCCTAATATCCAGCCTCTGCCTTATTCACTGGACTCCTCCATACTCTCTTCTTCATGTAAACTCATCGTTTGTGATCCCTTCTTATGCAACTACCTGTGTCAAATGCAACCCCAAAATATCACAACACCAATGCTTTTTTTAATTAAAACTTTATTATTACAGGTTAATTACATCCATTAGTGGTATTTGATGTTATATTCTTGCCCATGAATAGGTTTTGCATTGATCTTATCTTGCCATGCTTTTTGCATTATCATTCCTTTCTTCCCCCAATACCCTTCCAAATCACTATTCAACACAATTCTACTTTAATATTGACTTTTTAGTTTCAACATATAAGAAAATACAAGAAATTTGTCTTGTTTTTTTGGTTATTAAATTATCATAATGTTCTTAACTTCATACATTTTACTGCAGATGACAGAATTTCATTTCATTTTTATTTCTGAATAATAATCTATTTTATATACTCTATACATCATATATCATAAATTCTTTACTCTTCCATCTGTTGATGGACAGTGGGCTGAGTACATGTTGAAGATTTATAGGAATAACACTAGATAACAGTAAGGTTTTGAAGGGTGACTTCATTTACTTTGCCTATATTCTCAGGAAGGCTACAACTCATTACTAAAGGCCAGAAAACAGCAGTGAGGCATGTAACTACTATAAAATGTGGACAATTAGAGCCATAAATTATAATTTGAACAATTTAGCAAGTTCACCCTTTCTGAAAAAAATAATATTGGAGCATCTCTAAGATGAATCTATAGAATATTTTTTGATTGTTCACAATTAACAGGTACCCTAACATGCTTTGTAAATCAAAAATAAAGAGTTAAAGTTTATCACATTCTGGTACTTATTGACATATTTATTGATGAAAAATAAGTGAATGCTTCTCAGTGACACACTCCAAAACAAGACTAAACAAGGACCTTCCTTTTTATAGTTCATGCAATAACAATGAAGTCAAATAGTCAAAAAGCAAATACCCAAAGTAAAAAATCCCTATGTATCTTGGCTGGTGACATGGCAAAGTGAGTAAAGGGACTTCCAATATGTGGCTAACAATCCAAATTCAATCATCACAGCCTCCATAAGGGTGAAAGTTGAGAAAAACTCTATAAGCTTGTCTACTGAGCTCCACCCATGCACCGTGATACTAGTTCCTGTCTTGCCACAAATACGTTGCATACTCACATGCATGCACTCACACACACACCTACACACTATGATTTTTAAACTTTTAGAGATTTTAGACTAGTAAGTGTAGTTATTAATGAAATGCCAAATACAATGTCAGCATTCATATAAAGGTTTCTGGTATAATTGAAGATAATGGCTTTTCTGGGCGGGTAAAAGTAATATGGGATTTATAAGTTAATATATATGAATTAACAAAAAGAAAATGGCTAAAATCAAAACACAAGATGGAATTTTTATGAACAAATACAGTACTTAGAACCAAGTAAGGAAATGACTTGAACATTGAAGGTGTGGGGCAGAGAGACAAGAAACTAGTATGTGAGACCGAAGTCAGAACTGCGCAAGATTTGTGGGTCATGCTAATGATTATTTCTGTAATCCCAAAGTAGTGACAAGACATTAAGAGTTATAAAAAAAATTCCACAGCAATGGAACAAAATCAGTATCTTTGGAATATAATTTCCTATCATGAGTTTAAAACTGAAAACGATAAATGTAAGTATACCATTTAAAGATGAGGATTTACCCACTGATTATTCTGACACATCATACCCAAAATTATAACCAAAATTAATATTTTAAGGAGAAACTCTCAATATTTTCTAATAACTATATTTTTAAGAAAGTTAAGATAATTTTGGTGTCTTCCTTGTCCATTGCTGTGAAACGACTTTGTAATTTTGGTCTAAACCTTCATGCTTGCTTCTCCACTGATTATCACACTAAGACAATAAACCAGTTCCTTTCAGACGAGTTTGGTTATTCACTGACTTAGAAGTGCCATCCCTAGAAACTTTATGACTATACAGAAATATTTCTGTTTTCCTTTCTCAAGAACAGAGTTCTGAATAGAATTCAGACTGTGTTAAAAGATTCCTATTTATGGGACAAAGTATGGGTATAGCAAAAAGTTATACTCATTGATGAGGACAGTCATTGTTTGTAGAAAAGATGAGGCTTACTACTAGGAGGAGATACATTTGTTGGGGCTCTAAAATAACCTACATATTTCAGTTCCCTAAATACATGGTAGAATTATTATTCATGTCCTAATAACTTTTTGAACCTAATGCTTGTCTTTTTCAAATGTTTTCCTTTAAAAGGTGAACACAAAAAAGCAAAAGAATCTAGATATCTCAATTAATTCTGAGAAGACATCAGAATCCACTTAATGGCAAATACTCAAGAGATGTGAAGGACTTAACTTTTCCTTCCCATGTGTTTTTATTTTTCCTTTGTGTGTTCCAACTGATCGAAGTCTGTAATAAAGAATTTCATCTGTATTATGTGCCTTAGTGTAGTAATCACTGCAGATTGAATATGGGGGAAACCTGAAAGGTGCTCCTAGATTTATATGAAAAACAGTTTGCTCGAGAAGTCAGCTCTTAATAAAAAAAAGATTGTTGAATACAAACATTGTGCATGACCTCACAGAGGTTGCAGTCATAGTCTGGGTGGGTACCCTAAAAGTATGATTTAAAACTGCTTCCAATTTATGTGCATAATATATACGATAAACAAATAAATGGCAGATTGACAAAAAAAAAAACAGTTTGCTCTTTCATAAAATATATCTCAGATTTTTTAAACAGAGAAAAGTGGGGCATTGAGGAAGTGTCTGTTGCTGAGAAACTATCCTGCACAAAGAATGTGAGAGTCGCAATAGTTTAATGAACTGTATCACATATAAAACTCCCTATTTTGTTTTTGTTAATTTGTTACTTTTACTGAGATAGCATCTCGGTATGTAACTATAGCTTGTCCAAACTCTTTATTTAGACCAGTCTAACCTTGAACTTACAGAGATCCACACGCTTCTGCCTTCTGAACCTTGGAATTAAAGTTGTGTGTCACCTCACCTAAGAGAGGCAAAGTTCTTCTTACAGGGGCCAACATCTTTGACTTTCCATTCTGAACTATTCTGAGAGTTTGCTCCTACCCCTGGCTCCATGTTTGATTTTGCTGATTTCATCCGAGTCGAAGCTTGTACAAAAATTATTCAATGGTATTTACTTTTTATCAATTAAAGACAGTCTGTTTTTAATTCATTCTTATTTATAGTATTGGGTTCAGGCAGTCTATGTTTTTGTCTTTTACCTCCTTGAATACAATATTACGTTAAAATTATTTCCAATAACTCCGTTATTGGATCCAGAGTTCTATTATCTTTTTTATTTTTCTTTCAGCTGCATTGCTCTGTTTTTCATGTTCTTTTCTGCTCTTGGTTTTGTGGTCAGTCATTGTGCATCAAAGTCATTTGTGTAAATCACTTAGCATTAGGATCCTATTATTTTATTCAGAACAGAGCACTAAGTTCCTTCCACAAATGACCACAGACAAAGATGGAGACTAACAGACTCAAGTCATCTTAGCAAGGCCCTAAACCATCTGGTCTACAGATGCAAACCTATCTCAATTATTTTGTATCTAACATATCAACTCCTCAGAAGCTCAGCTTTCATTAAATATGAAAGGAATTTTAAGCTTCTCTTAATCAATATTTGTTTTTACATCTACAACAGAAATCCATGTGTGCCTTCTTATTTATTATTTTTGTTCGTGAATTGGAGGTAGTTCTTCTTCATCATGAAGAGTGTCACAACTTCTCTAGGAAAAATTAATCTGTCATAAACATCTACTACATTCCTACTTAGATTATTAACTCCAATTGCACTCTTAATTACGATTTTAAAATCCATAACTTAAATGCACCATTTCACTATTATGACTTGTTATATAACCATTTGTCACTTCCAATATCCAAATTCTTTTTGGCAAGCTGAACCCTAGGATTGTTAAACCATAACTTCATATTATTCTCTTCTCAGTCCTGAAAATCACCATGCCATGTTCTTCCTGTATTAACTTCTTCAAGCTTAGTACTTGGCATGAGTGGAGACATGCAGTTGTATTTTTATTGACTTATTTTACTTACTGTGGTGTCCTCAATGTTATCAAGGCTTATTGCATCATGTATCAGAATTCCCTCTCTCTGTCTGCATATCCCATTGTATTTATGTTCTATAATCTATATAAGTTTGACTTGTTTCCACATTTTAGCTGTTGTGCATACTGATGCTGTGAATATGGATGCACAAATCTGTTAGAGATGTTAGGTTCAATCGCTTGGAATCAGATGTGAAAGCCAGAAGTGGAGTAGTTGGATTATACAGTGGTTCTGCTTTGGTTTTGTGAAGCCAAGCGTCATATGTTTCCCTTTGCAAATGAACCACTTATATTTCTACCAGCAGCACCAGCGCTTATGATTTTCTGTCATTTGTTAAGGAATAGTCATCATAAGAGGACATAAGTGGTGTGCACTTCTTGTCGGTTTACACTTCCAAATGAGTCGTAATAGAGAACATTTTTCTCGTGTTTAATGGATGGTTCTAGACTCCCTTTGAGAATCATTTATTTAAAGTTTTAGATAGGTTGATTTTGTTGTTGTTGATTTCTGAGGGTAATCCTGTATCAGATAAATGACATAAATACTGTTCCCATTCTATAGGTGAACTTTTAATATCATTGAATCTTTCCCCTTTTACATAGGCATTACCAAATTTAGTATAATCAACTTAATAAGCTTTTTTTCTGTATTTCTGTACTTGTTGGGACATATCCCAGACACCACTGTGAAATCCTATGCTCTAAATCATTCCCTTTAAGTCTCTCTAAGAGCATGATAGTTTAGGCCCTTGCTTTTATGTTTGGCCAATATTCATTGGTTTGAAATACATTGTAAGGTGATAATTTAGCTTTGTTCTTTTGCATATAGACATCTGGTTTATCCAAGAACATTTGTTGAAGTGAATGACCTTTCCCATTTAAAATTTTTGGCAGTCATATCAAAATCATTTTACCATTATAAACTAGAGATTATATCCTGGGAAGTCTATTCTGCCCTATTGGTTTATTTCTGTATTCAAGTAATCAGCACACATTAGATTCACCATGACATTAAAATGCTTCTTTGTGAGTAGAGTACATACATGGATCAATATGTAAAGGGTTTGCTGCCAGTCCTGATGAGCTAACTGTAATAATTGAGATACACTTGGTGGATGAAAAGAACTAGGTCCTATGAGGTGTCAAAATTTCATAAAACTTTTGAACAGACTTTCTTTTCTCCCTTTCTTTTGGCAAAAATGAAAAATAAAACACTGCAATTTTACTACAGATTGCATAGAATTTGTGGATTGTTTTGCATAGCATCTTTAAAATAACTGTCCTCAGCTGGGCGGTCAGTGGTGGCACACTTTTTAATCCCAGCACTCAGGAAGCAGCATATCTCTGTGAGTTCAAGGCCAATCTAAACTACATAGTGAGAGCCAGAACAGGATATAAAACTTCAGAAATATCCTGCCTCCAAAAAAACCAAATAAATAAATAAATAATAATTGTCCTCCAATTTATGACTGTAGGATGCTGTTATGTTTGTTTCTGTTTCTTTTTCTTTCATCCATGTTTTGTTGGTTTCAATGGATCTGTCTCTACCATTTTCGCCAATTATTCCTAAGTTTTTTTCTCCTACCATTTCAAAGTTCATGTATTTTTATCTTAATTTAGCATTACTCATCACTAGTATTTATAATTTCAACTAATATTTCTGTGCTGATTTGATTTATATCTCACAGCTTTGTAAAATCTCACTATTCTAGCAGATTCTTTGCTTTCCCTAGTTTTTGTGTTACATATGAGGTCATACTGCTGTTCATTTTACAGAGAAAATTTTACTTCTTTGCCTGTAATTTAGATGCTGTGTCACTAAATTATCTGCCTATTGTTTTACAGTAATATGTTAAATGGTGTAAAATCTGACTGATTGCAGACATCACATAAAAATCAACCAACTGTGTTTCTAGCCAAAAATGTTGAATACTCAGTTTTTTGCATGGAGTTACTTGGGTTCTTCTGCTCATTTGTTGATGCTTTTATTTAACAATGGTATTGAGATGGGTGTAGTAGCTCCTGCCTCTAATCCCAGCCCACGGGACCTTACAAAATGAAGACCATTCTAACTTTGAGAACAGCCTAGAGTACATATGGAATTCCAGGCCAGCTTAGGCTACAGTGTCTCAAAAGAGCTGTGTTTTATTAATGGTTTATTCTGCATCAATGACAATAAAGGTTCCTATAATGTTTTCATGTGTGGAACAATCTTGCATTCCAAAAATAAGTCCTACCTGTTCATGTTACACACTGGGCTGTAACTCACACCTCCATTAAAAGGTCAGTAACTTTGGCTCAGTGGCTAAGAGCATGGCCTCCTCTTCCAAAGGTCCTGAGTTCAATTCCCGGCAACCACATGGTGGCTCACAACCATCTGTAATGAAGTCTAGTGCTCTCTTCTGGCCTGCAGACATATACACAGACAGAATATTGTATGCATAATAAATAAATAAATATTTAAAAAAAAAAGGTCAGTAACTTCTAAATCCATGACTTTTCAGGACCTCAGGGGCTCAGTGCTTAAAATCTGCAATTTTCTGGAGAAAGAACTGAGTGAAGAAGATGTGGATGCTGTTGTGAGACAAGCTACATTTCAGAACATGAAATCTGACCCGCGAGCAAATTATGCACATAAACAAAAACTGAAAAATTGGACAAGAAATAATCAGGGAAAATTCCTCCGCAAAGGTGAAATTTAATAGTCTGTAGTAGCAAAAAAAAAAAAAAAAAAAAGTTGTGTGTGCCCGGAAGTACTTTAGAGAAATAATATGTGTTTTTAAAGTATTTTTTCCAGGTGATAATGACATTTGGAAGTATCAAGCATTTTAGTTGACAGAGAACCTGAAGAAACCGGTTTCTAGTAGTTTTAGAAAAAAAAACCTGATAATTTCACTTACTAAATAAATATGTATTTCTTCCTTTTAGGCCACACAGCTCATTTTTTAGAGTATGTCATCAGTCTTGTCCTAGGCAATAGATGTGTTAGAAGTTAAGACTCTAATTCATCTTATTCTATTGGCTTTTGGGGAATTTTTTTGTTTTATTTTGTTTTTGCTTTGATTTGTTGGGTGTGTGTGTGTTGTGTGTATGTGTGTGTGTGTGTGTGTGAGAGAGAGAGAGAGAGAGAGAGAGAGAGAGAGAGAGAGAGAGAGAATCTTTGCCTCTCAGTGTAGTCTAAGCAAACACAGGTACCTTATATTCGTAATCCTCCTATCTCCACAACATACCTCTCCCTGAAAGCTAGAATTACAGAAATAGTGAAACACCGCCTAGGCAAGAACAATTTTATTTGCTATTTTTCTAGGATACTGGACAAGTAAACTTATTGTCTGTTTATATTGAAGACAAAGTTTAAAATGCTGCTTCATCAAATGTGAGATTTTCTTCATCATAAAAATTAGAGTGATGTCTTAATAACTATATCTGACATGAATTCAATAAAGTAAATAGACAATAAATTTTTGATGATCTCATTATATGCCCAGAGATATGGGTAAGAATGAACATTTCCCTCTTAATATCCTTTTAACTTATCATTACTGTGAGTATTAGCTTATATTTTAATATTGCTGGGTTTTTATATTTTTCAGGAACTCTTTTATTTTGTCTCTTCTGCCACTTAACATCAGTTCTCACATCTCATTCCTCAACAAGTCTTAATGTCTTACCCATGATAGCTCGCCATCTGTTCCAAATGCAAACAATAATATCATCTTTTCAGGCAACTCAGAAAACTAAATGGATTTTTTCATTTTAACTAACAGTGAATATTTCAAATTCCTACTCATTAAAACCACAATGATAACTGCACTGAAGCTCTGTGTCACCTTGACTTGCTAAAAACTTCTGGGTCTCATTTTTTTTCATTTTAAAAAGGAAAAACAAAACAGCATATACCTCAAAAGACTGTGTTTAAATCTAAGTGTTTTCCTAGTATGATGATTAGCACATAGTAAAAAATGTGCTTTTAAAATTCTATTTTTTTTAACTTTTAAGGTGTTTTTTTTTCCTTCTAAAAATCAGCTACAACTCAGTAGTAGTAGTTAGTGATATCTATTTATCATGTTGCTACTCAGAAATTTCTTCTGTGATTGGAGGAGAGATAGCCAACCTTACCCTCCGGAGAACTCAGTGATGTGCAGTGTGAGCTGTAGTGAGTAGAGTGAGTTGGGTGGACTGCGTCCCGATTCTGCTACTTATGTAGGTGCTATCCTGTGCTTCTCCCATTAGGAACCATTGGAGACTGGAAGCATCACTTGACTGTGGATCAGAATGAAAGATTTGACAGAATATTCAACAGGAACATGAAAAACATTCCCTTAAAGTTCATTTGGGATATGAATGAGGAGTAGAACTTTAATTACCATGTGAATTAATCATATATAAATGTACTAACCAAAGGCCATACTCAAATATTAAAATTAATTTCTTCCTCTCAATTAACTATGAATATAAAGCATAATTCTTGAATGAGAAAATAAACTTAAGCTTAGCTTGCTGGCCATAACATTGATTTTAAAGGTAGGTATTAGTATTGGTATCTTTCACAAAAATGGTATAACAAAAAACATAAAACAGGACTGAAGTCTTCAGAAATTCTTCTATAGTTAAAATTTTCTTTACCTTTAATTAATTCAGAATCAAATAACCACTAAGAATCCATTTACTCTAATCTAAACATTAATTGGCTGCTTTCAAAATCAATACGACTATACAAATGTGCTGTGTGAAATAGAGAGAGATGTCACATAAAAACATTTATGCCTTTTAAAAGTAATATAACAGATCTCAGTTTGTAGGAAAGACATAAAAATCAAAGATTAAACATATGCTGGTTTACGTGTGGATGCCCACACCTCCATGCGGCAGATCGTGGGGCTAGCTCTCTCACTTTCTGTCTTCAGGGTCTGCTCACCCACACCGGCATGAGGAGGGACAGCTCTACTGTGCTGCCCTGAGGAGGTCCAGGGCCTGCTCTCCAGACTGGTACAGTCAGTGAGGGGCAGGGCCAACTCTGTGAAGCCCTGTCCTCATTGTTTTGGAGGATAAAAGAATCATGGGTATCAACACAATGGCAATCATGGCAGGGTCATGGACCCTGATATGGCCACTGATAGCAATCTAGGCCCAGATGACCCCATGGCCCTGAGTGGCAGCACAGGTTACTCAGATCTACATGGCCTCAACAGAGACTCAACCCTTGGACAGTAACTTGATCCTAGGTAACAGCCCAGACTCCTGATGCTTGTGTGGCCCTTAGTGGCTCTACAGTCCATGCACACAGCAGAGCGTGCACAACATGTCACCAGTGCAGAACACTAGAGCTTACGCAGTTGGCAGGGGGCAGGTAACCAGGCCTGTGAGCATGAGAGCTTTCTCATATGCCAAGGGATGGCAAGGGTAAGGGAAACGTGTCCTCACTGCCCACCCCTTCCCACCTAAATCACACTGGGGGGTCAACCTGGGGGTGGGGGCATGAGAATGGAAGAAGTGGTTCTTCCTTCACCAGGTGACTGGGCAAAACAGTAGAGCTGGCCCTGGCAGTGTAAGTATGGGTAGGCTGGACCTGAGGGTGTAGTAACAGGAGAACTGGCACCATTCTTTGCTGTCTGCTGCATCAAGCCAGAGCTGTGCTAGAGAGCTCTCCCAGGTAGTGATGGTGAAGGAAAGCTGACAGGATGAGCAATCCAGCTACCACCCAGATCAAGAACCTGGTCTATGAGTTGGCCCACCCCAACATTCACCGAATCTATGTACTGTTGAAGCATGTGATGAGGCCAGACCTGCAGATCAGGAGCTACTGGATCTCTATGACACAAGGCACCAATGGGATATTTAAGAGAAGACCCAGTGAGTGCGCAGTATCCAGGGCATAGCAGAAGCCAGAGGCCTCAAACCAAACCAATTAGCATTGCAATGAACAATTAAAAGTTAAGATGTATGTACTAAAGGGTATACAGTGTGACTCATTATTTCACACAACACCATCCACGCTGAGAGACTTTTTGTTTGTTTGTTTGTTTTTTGCTTTTCTTTTAAACTTATGTTATTTTGTGGGTGGAGGTTGCAAGAGCAGAAGGTAGAAATGAGGAGATAGGAAGATGAGTGGGATTGGGATACATAGTGTGAAATCCACAATGAATCAATAAAAAGTTAAATAAAAAAATCCTGCTGGTTTAATTACAAGGTATTAGGATGAAAACAGTTCTGTCTGTAACATATCCTCATTAAACCCATGCCATAAAGTCATTTTAATAACTAGAAAAAAAATCTAGTTGAATTTCAATTCTCAAGGTAGGAGGAATTTAATTAATAAAGCAATTATTGATGTTTAAAATTTACTGTATTTGGATCATAAATATACATGGTAACAGCATTCATGACAGTCAGCAGATGGAATCAGCCGAAGTTGGTCATCACTGCAACCAAATAGGCAAGACAGCTAATTTATAGCCTCAAAGGGTTATTTTGGTTTGTGCGCTGTTGCTTTCTAGTCTGTGGCAAGGAATTGCACAGTGTAGAGTGTGGTGGAGCAAAGCAGATTTCAGAATCACTGGATACAAAGAGTAAAAAAAAAAGGAGGCTAAGGGATAAATATCCCACTCAATGACATGCCACTGTGTGTCTGATTTCCTCTCATTAGGCCCTCCCAGTAAATTTTAATAGCACCATGGAGGCTCAGGTTTTCACCATATGTCCATTTGTGGGAACCTTGTTAAGATAACACACATTTCATTGCCCATGTATGCTGAAACAAATATGTAAATTAGTGGCACATCAAATGATAGCGGGATGTGTCATATATTTTGTTTTTTTTGGGGGGGGGGCTTATTGATGTTATTATTTTAAGAAAGGATCTTTTATCATAGTCCTGGATGTCCTACACTCTCTAAGTAGAACAAGCTGGCCCCAAACTTCTCTGCCTCTACCTCCTGAGTGCTGGGATTAAAGGTTGTGCCAGTATACCTATGTGGTAAATATGTGAAAAAATCCATTTTAGAAAAAAAAATATTCATCTTGGTCCCTGGGTTCAGAGGTTCTAATTCATGGCTTGTAGGCTGTAGTAGTATGGGCAGCGGGGCTGCGTCCCCAGCACCCCAGCCGCCCTCACGGCTAGCTTATGCCCGAAATAACAACACACAAACTGTATTCATTTAAACACTGCTTGGCCCATTCTCTTCTAGGCTAATTCTCACATATTAATTTAGCCCATTTCTAATCATCTGTGTGTAGCACCCCAAGGTGCGCTTACCGGGGAGATTCTAGCCTATGTCCATCCTGGGTCGGAGGTTCATAGCGTGCGTCTGCCCAGGAGCCAGGAGCATGGCGTCTCTCTCAGGTGTCTGCTCCAGAGAAGACAGCTGTCGAGTCTGAGCTCACTTCCTCTTCCTCCCAGCGTCCTGTTCTGCTTACTGCTCCCACCTATCCTCTAACCAATAAAATGGGCCAAGGCAGTTCCTTTATTAGCCAATGACCTTCCTCCATCAGTAGGCTTTGTTTCAGGACCCATAATGGCACAGAGCATCATGATAGCTTGAAACTTTTGCAGGAGTGTCTCAGTCAAATATTTCTTGCAAATGTGAATAATTAGGTTCCAATCCATTTACACACTATATAGTATTTCATCGGTGATTTATGGAGTACCAGTAAAAGAAATTTTCTTTAACCAATGCAGAGCCATAAATGAGAAATATGAAGCAGAAAGGGATTATCAACCTTTCTTTTCTGATTTCTTATTTTGGAATTTTGTGTTCTATCATCTACAGATGATATGTTCACTGTTCATAAAAATTTATTTTAATGACAGCCATTAAAATGTGATTTAAAAAAGACCAAGTCGAGCCAGGCGATGGTGGCGCACGCGTTTAATCCCAGCACTCGGGAGGCAGAGGCAGGCAGATCTCTGTGAGTTCGAGACCAGCCTGGTCTACAAGAGCTAGTTCCAGGACAGGCTCCAAAGCCACAGAGAAACCCTGTCTCGAAAAAACAAAAAAACAAAAACAAAACAACAACAACAACAACAAAAAGACCAAGTCTACAGGTGTGGGAGCTTCTGCAATAGGATTTGGCAATGAAACTGACCCAACTGAGAATGTATTATAGCAACATTTAGGAAATGGTCAGTGAAAACTCTATTAGTGAACTACTCAGGAATGAGGGCAATACCATGCAAACTGGCTTAATTGGATCCTTGCTGAAGCCAAGCCAGGGTGACCAGTTGTCAACTGTGCAAAGAGGATGGATAAGGAGCCTAGTCAGATGTTGAGGGCCATCAATCAAGAAGGGGAGGTGTTCTTGCTAAGTGGACTTGGAAAAAATCTTTGCTGTAAACTGTATTTGGGAAACACAGAGAAAGACCTAGAATAAGGTATATAATCCTGACTAAACTTAAACTAAACACAACTAGGCATGGATGTTTGCACCTTCAATCTGAGCATGGGAGGCAGAGGCAGGTGATCTCTTTCAGTTCAAGGCCAGCCTTGGCTACAAAGCCAGTTTCTCAACAGCCAGTATAGTTACACAGGGCAATCCTGTCTTTTTTAATTTTTAATATTGATTTTATTGAGCTATACATTTTTCTCTACTCCTCTTCTTTACTCTCCCCTCCTCTTCAACCCTCTCCCATGGTCCCCAGGCTCCCGATTCAGTCAGGAGATCTTGCTGTTTTCTACTTCCCATGTAGATTAGATCAATGTATGTCTCTCTTAGGGTCCTCATTGTTGTCTAAGTTCTCTGAGATTGTGAAACGTAGGCTAGTTTTCTTTGCTTTATGTCTAAAAGCTACTTATGAGAGAGGACATATAATATTAGTCTTTCTGGATCTGGGTTACTTCACTTATTATGATGTTTTCTAGATCCATCCATTTGCCTGCAAATTTCAAGATGTCATTTTTCTGCTGTATAGTACTGCATTGCGTAAATATATTTTCCTTATCCATTCTGCAGTTGAGGGGCGTTTAGGCTGTACCAGTTTTCACTCCCACCAGCAATGCAGTAGTGTTCCCTTTACCCCACATCCCCTCGAGCATAAGTTGTCATCAGTGTCTTTGATCTTGGCCATTCTTACAGGTATAAGATGGAATCTCAGACTTTTTTTTGATTTGCATTTCTCTGATGGCTAAGGATTTTGAACATTTCCTTATGTGTCTTTCAACCATTTTAAATTCCTTTGAGAGTTCTCTCTTTAGGTCTGTACTCCATTTTTTATTGGATTATTTATTCTTTTGAAGACTAGTTCCTTGAGTTCCTTGTATATTTTGGAGATCAGATATCTTTCTGATGTGGGGTTAGTGAAGATATTTTCTCATTCTGTAGGCTGTCGTTTTGTCTTGTTGATCGTTTCCTTTGCTTT